ATAGAAAACCCCAGCCTGTTACTCCACACACACACACACACACACACACACACACACACACACACAGAGTCACACCAAGCAGTCACACTGGAGCACTCCAATAAAAATGTTAGTTGAGCTTCATTTCATTAGACTGCGTTAAATAAGCCTCATCTTCACAGGGAATTCATTTGGACAAAATCAGAAAAATGAATTTGAATATGTAGGAGAGAGGAGGAAGCCCTTGAGAAATGTACTGTCTTGTTTACAAAAGAGGGTGGTGGTGGGGTCCTCAAAGGAGCACAGCACAAGCAGAATAAAAAGGAACCAACACATCAACTGAACAGTACACCAACTCCAAGCCAGGCAGACCCACAGCTTTAACTCATTCAAATGAGTGAACCAAATTTAACTTGAGCTGCAGTGCAGAATTCTAAAAGCATAATTTAGGACAGCTATTTCCTTGAGACCTGCCTCACACTGTTCAATAAAAAGCATTCTCTGCCATAATGTCTGATGCTGAATATTGAGGCACTTTTAAGCAGTTTTCACTGAAACAGTGCGCTGTTCTGTTGTGACAGGCCGGGAGCAGAGGAGGGCAGCGCCACAGACGGGGCAAGGCAGACACCAGCCGAGCTGGACTATGCGTCCCTAATGAGAAGTGACAGGAGACATTCCCTACCCCCACCTATCTCTCTCTCTCTCACTCTCTGCACACACACACAGACAACCTTTCAAACTAAGCACCTTGCCTCAGTCATCTGTATCATTGTTTTAAAATTTAAAACCAACCTCTTGCAGATGTTTAAAAGACAGAAGCCCAGTCTCCCACAGAACATTAACATACATAAATGCTTGGCACGACAAGAGGACCGCTGTATTATTCAAATGACAGTCGGGGCACTTTATCAATCATTTAGTGGATTTCCTCATCAAGGCTAGAAAAAAGGAAAGAGACGGGTATCAGCGTCTCCGTTCCTGTCTGCAAACCCAAATTTCATTGCAGACTCTTACAGGTCATCCCTCTAAACCAAAGCTCGGCTATTTGTCCCACAGTAAATCTTACGAATGAAATGAAATTACTTTTTGATAGTCACCTTTCTCAGCCCAAGTGTCACAGGTCCTAACCTTCTAAAAAAAAAAAAAGAGCAATCACTGTGCCAATGTCACAGTCAGGCCTGAATGAAAGGGCAGCAACAGCAGACACACTGCAATACAACCCCCAAACACTTCCCTGTCTAAAATTACACAGCAGCTGCAAAGTGCTCTTTCTGTGCCAAAGCTCTCAAATACACAGCTCTTCCATTTCATTTCTTCAAAAGGGGATTTTTCAGTCCATTGCTGGTATGTTATTATCTCATTAAGTCCCATCACACTGATCCCTGAAGAAATTTACTTTCTTGTTACACATACAACAAAAAGAAACATGCAGGTCTTACCCAATCAACATGAAAAAATTAAACTGTCAACGTATCCATTGTTAAAACTGCAGAATATACATTTTAAAAAGTGCTGCTCTCACAAAAATTGATGAATGATCTATGGGGAGAGTTGGCCATTATATGCTTTGTTATTGCATGAGACAGTAATTATAGAAGGTTTGACTCTCTGGATATTTAATACAATCAAAGGTGCTCTATAAAGGTCATAATAAGGAATGCTGCAGTGAGCAGAAACCAGAGCTTTCCAACAATATTGATGTGCCTGCAAACATCCCAAAGCAAGATCTGGAAGTGGAATAAAGGTGGAACAAAAACAGAATACATTACAGCCTTTAAAACAATGATGTCATATTTTGCCTGAAATTATAGCTAGAAACACAAACTTCAGAGGCAGAGCAGACTGCTTACCTCTGCAGTGTTTTTTGCCAATCAGGTCAATCAGTATAACAGTGAATCAGGCCAGTCGACTGATTACAGACTCTGCCAGGAGAGCTACAGGAAAGTACAGGAATCAAAACAGGCTAGAAAACAGAAACAGCCTGAAATGACAGAGACAGATAGAGGGAGCAAATGTCTCCACGATGATGACTCATGGTGGACAGCCTCTGGATTAGTCTGTGTCAGCCAACAATATGAAGCATAGCGCTGCATATTTGTCATTTCACCGACTGTGTTGTCAGCTACAAAAAGTGGATGTGGCATCTAGTATTTCAACAGTGTAAACATATTCTTCTGTTCTTCCCTTTCAGAAATTTGGGTGAAAACATGAGGATACTTAAAGTGACAAAGATTAAATGGATGGATGACAAGCTCTTGGTCTGACTGTAAAGCAAGACTGAAAGGACCATCTTTTTAGTAAAGAAATATTAAGTGTACAGACACGAATGACTATACAAACACAACCTGGCAACATGAATGGCAACCCAAAACAATGAATGTTTATTTAAAGTGAGTTGTCAATGCTCCTTAAGGGGTTCTACCTCCAACTAGCCAGTCAGGCCAAAGTCCAGTTCTATTAGCTACACTGTAGCAAGTACTTGCAAGCTGAGTCTAGCTCTACTTGCAATTATCCTGAGTTTGTAACTCCAATAATTACATGTCATTATATGGCCCCAGAGCACCGAGACAAATATTTAACCTGGTGAAATGAGAAACCTAAATGCTGAAAAGTGCAGTGCACACACCTTTTCCAAACCAAAAAGACAGCAAGCTATACACAGGTCATCTTACGGAGGAAAACAGGAGAAGAATACTGAGTCCAACCAGAACTTCAGTCAGATTACCATAGGATTATCACAGTGTGCATATGGCCACTTACAATCATTATATACATGGCTATAGAAACCCCTTGGGAGAGCAATAAAAGAAAAAGATTCGTTGGGTGAGTTAAGCAAATAAAAACAACATAGACTAGTCAGGATAGCTAAAATAGTTAACAGAATACCAGCAAATCTACAGCAATTACTACTCTCTAATTTGTTATTTGACTACTGGTAATTATTACTTTGATAAACCAATATCCACAAGTAGGATACAGACTCCTATAGATGACAGACTGCCATAACACAACCTATCAAAAACTATCTGACACAGAGGCGATAAACAGCAACATGTAGGGTTGAACCCCAAAGTGAAAATGCACATCCATGCAGAACTTTTCCTCTGATCTAGCTTCACAAAAAGAAAATAAGTGCACCCTTTTGTAACCTGTGAATCAAGAAATCAATCATTTGCAATGGCTTTGTTAGCTTATCGTTAATGCGGAGCTATTGTTGCTCTACGGGCTACTGGTGGGCTATCGCTGCTCGGCGGAAGCAATGGTTAAAAGTGCTTGTAAGAGCAAAAACCAACAGGGTTGTTTGTCTCAGCTGTTAAAAATAGGAAGTAATATCTAAATATTTCGCGACAGCCTAACAGCGAGGAGTCATATTCACCGTAGCCCTGTAATTAGTAGCATCACGTTATCCTTAGGCTAGGGTAAGCTATCTCCGTTGTGTCGCTTTGAGTTTACCTCTCGGAACCAGCAATTTACTTTGAGCAAGATACGATGCAACTGTTGAAAAGCAAGCGGTCAATACGTTTACCAGAAAATGGAGAGCTTCGTAGTCATTATCTTTCTTTGTATAACCCCGTAGTTTAAACGGTACTCCGAACCAAGTTGTCTCTGGCAGGGAGAGAAAAAATGCAGCTCAACACCTTCTTTTTCCAACTCTGCTCATTACGCACGGCTCGACGTCAACGTCCACATTTGATGCCTAAATATGATATAATTTACCACTACGTCGACTTCCGGCCAAAGGAATTCATTCAGTTAGACTAAAAACTAAACCAAAGCCATTTTACTCTCGGTTCGGTTCGGTATTCCCCCATAGTTGCACAACGCCTTGTTGGGTGGTTGTTATGGCCTATCCCAACCATACCCGTTTCAAGCTAGTCAGAGTAAGTGACGGAACTTCCGGTTAGTACTTTCAAAACAAAGCCTTGGATTATTATAAATTGTGTTCTTGGCGCATGTACAAAAGATATATGTGCAATAAAAACTGTTTCACATCGCATGTTCAGTATTCGTCTTTGGAAAATCATTTTAGCATTGATCCATTGGAAACACTAACTATCCGTTCAATCAGGCAAAGTAAGCATGCCCTGCGCATGTGTCGGCCCTTTACTTTGGAAAAAATAACCGTATTTCCTGTATTTTGGTTATTTTGACAGCCTTGCAGACTGATCAAGAGGCCCGTCAGTAGTGAGCATACTATGCAATAACGCATTTGCGGGCGCCCTCTATCGGGTTCTTTGTAGTAGTAGTGATTATGAGTGCTAGACGTTTCAAGATACTTTATCAGTA